CAGAGGAGAACTAAGCTGGGGGAATGCAAAAGAGACAGCAATGGACTGGGCACATCTCTAATTACAGAGCAGAGATTATGCAAGGTGTCAAAAATCAAGTATCCTTTCTGAGCATCCGAGCAGGAAAGATGGTTGAAAGACAAGAGTGAGAGGTGAGTTCAGAGTTTAAAGAATATGAAAAACAAATTTAACATCCAGTTAGAGAGTGGGACAGGGAATCAGCATTAAGGAAGTAAAAAAAGATACCTAAATCAGGGGGGGGGTTCAGGTGATAAATGGACTGAATTTGTGTGCTTCCACCCGGGTTTAGGACGGCCTCTTTTGGGAAATGGAATGGGAGAGTAGGATAACGGGTTGAGTGAAGCAGGGTGGGTATGTTGGGAAGCCTCCGGAAAGCAGAGACTGCTGGTGGGAATGTGTTGACATCAGTGAGCATGAGGTCAGACCAAAGAGGGAGCTAGGTCAAACTAGATCGTTTTCTGGGCGAGAACAATAGAGGGAGCCCAAAGAAGGACGAAGATTAGAAAGTGTCCGATCGTGGTCAGAGAGGGAATATAAGAGTTTCGCTCTGAGAGATGGAATAAATCCAAAAGGAGAGAACCAGGTATCGTCATGATAGCGAAAAGCTGAATCCCTGTGTTGTTGTATTTTGATTTTGTTTGTGTAAACAACATAATGGATATCTTTGACACATACGCTGAAAGCAGAAATGATTCAATTTGCATGTATAAATATACATATTTATGCACACCTACTTATAAATAATAATGTATATACTTAAATATCTTATACATTCAAGTGTTATATGTGGATATATAATACATTCCATTTTAAAATAGTTGTATCCTTCAGAATAGCAGCCAAGGGGCATACTAAGTGCTCAAGAGATATTGTTTTAATGGAACTAACATATTTGTCTAAAACTTTTATTGATTCTTTCCTGCATAGTACTGGAATCTGCCCCATACCCTAAAACACAACATGAAAATAATTACAAGTAAAAAGAATGTGGGATTTTAAAAGTGTGGAGAAATCAGATCTTTAGTGTTGTGCTTCCTAATTGTACCATTAATCATTGCATTGAGTTCAATGTCTTCTGCCTTTGCCAAAACGCAGACCCTTGACACACCAGGATAACATAGTCTTAAGGAATTCCACTCATCTAGTCTGCTTTCTACTTGCAATTCATATCAGCAGCCCTCATCCTCATTCTCAACCCAGCAAGCAGGGCTTAAAGCACGGAGCAGCACAAGAAAGGGGACTGTTCTGAGTGCTGAGATAGCTGCAAATGGGCAACACGGAAAAGAAGTGCAGAAGATTCTTAACTTGACTCATTGACTCTCTTAAAGCTATCTTAATCCATTGCTCTGAGTAATTTTTCTCTTTGCTTCACGATTGTAAATAAGAGACCCCCAAACTTCATCAAGGTTCCCAAGGCATGGGCATGACATTTGGCATTCAGTTAAGGTTTTTGGTAGAAGCTTTGGCTACTGGGATAGATGGGCCCACATATTCTAAGTTATAGAACCCCTCAATCTTGCTTCACCAAAACCCAGGCACGAATAGGGCTTAGGACTTGATTTAGTCTGGGGCTCACTCCCTCATTGTGATTGGAGTGGGATAGAAGTAGGGGTACATTCAGATATTCTCTTCCATTAGCTAAACAGTGGAGGCTTCTAAACCAGAATGGAGTCCTACATCTAATCCCATATTGGAATTTCCATTTCATGGATATCCCAAACATCTTAAAAAGAATTGTGCTATGGGTTAAGTCACATCTAAACTGGTAGTCCGGTGACTCCTCAACGGTTAATGCATATTGGGATTATTGGGTGCCTTTATGGAGGTGGGGAAGTGTATAGAGCAACTTAACTAATTGTAAGATTATAAGAACGGGAATAGGGAATAAATAATGATAGTAACTATCAATTATCTATAATATTAACTTGGTCTTTCTGAATGGCTACTTAGGTATATGTAGTAGTGGGGAAACTTCACATTTCTATACAAAGTCACATAATTTAGACAGTTTAAATAATCTTGATAATTTAGAGGTTCATAAACTACACACTCATTTCAAGGGCTACTGAAAATAATTTCTAGCGAGAAGTCCATGTTCCTAGTCACACAACCCTTCGATAAAAGGAAGTGGAAAATGAAACCCATCAATCCTTTGAAACTCTGGAATCTGTATCCTTGCTCTCTAATTTGTTCCTGGTTGTGTTCTTCCTCTTCTCTTCCCTGCATCATAACTAATAAGAAGTAGCCGATCATTACCAGGAAAAGGAATGGTAATTCTAATGGATGCAAATCCCTAATATGGCTTAATATGTCACCTTTCCTGGGCTTATCCTCACTGGAATGACAGATGAGCAGCTCAATGCCAAAAACACAGGTCTGTGGAATAAGCCAGTCATTAGAGCCAGGTGGGAATGAAAGGAAGAAGTCTTGTCAAAAACACCTCTGAAATCACACCATGGACCATTGATCATTTATGAGGCCGCATTTACTCCAGTTTAACTGTCTACCTGCTTCATCTCCGAAGAGTTCCTGGGACAGGTAGGCAGAGCAATCACTGACACCGAAGTACAAAAAGCAAATGCTCTATGAAAACATTTGGCAGCCCCCTGAGCATATGCTTCTGATATGGCTTTGAGTGAAGGAAGTATGTAAGGTGTGGTTGCAATACCTGGACATGCCAAGTTCTTCATCAACAGCACCACAATTGCATCATCTATGCACACATGTGAACCATTCTTAACACGCCAAAACATCCGTGCACAGGGTGTCAAGCAATGACAGAGCCTTTTGAGAAAGATAGGAACTGAAAGAAATTAAATGAGTTCTGGAATAGTTTTTCCTGCAGGCAGCTGCCCAGACCACTGGCCTATTCTGTCCGTAACTCTTAAACAGACAAAGCAACCCAACAACAACAAAGTAAAGAAATTCTTCTCCACTGAGCTGTGCAGGTGAGCAGTACACTGCCGTTTGGGTAACACGGTTTCTTCGCCTCCCACACAGAAATGCACCCCCCCTCCCCTGGGGACCTCCAGTGGCTGTGGAAGACTGGGTGGGTGATAGTCACTTAACTGTATAAACAGAATTCCTACTTTATCACATTACACATGCGTTTTGGCACTACGGACACCACCAACATTTAATGGAATCATTTGGGATTTCCCCCCACCCACCCGATCACAACATGGCTATAGCCAGTACATGGGAATACACATCAAAGACATTTTCCAGTCCTGGCTGAGGAGACACAGGGACATACTTCAAAAGAGCAAGATCCACTGTACATGCGTCACTCAAAAGGGTGTGCACATTCTTGACTCAAGCAAATTCAAGGTGCAGATCATCTGAGGTGTGTGGGGATGCTGAGATTTAAGCATTGCCAATGCAAGGAATAAATACAGGACCACAACAGCAACCTACTCTTCTCCACAGAGGAAGGGAATGGCGGGGGGAGAGGGAGAGAGAGAGAGCATGGAATCTGAGGGAAAATGGAACATGGTGTGTTCCTGAGCATAACTGGAATCTCTTGCTTTTGCACGAACCGGGGCTTCTCTCGCTCGACCCATCTGTGGTATAGAATTGAACCTTCTGCATTTGGCTCGTTATTTCTGGAATGAAATCACATCGAGAATTTGACAACACTCAGCATTCCCTGCCTTAAGCTGTCTCGAGCAGGCTTTGGATGTTTTACTTGTTCCCAATTCAAACCAAGTGAAAGGAAAGTGACCAATTGGGGCCAAGTAAGGGGTTCAGGACAATGATATTACCCAGCTGACAGCTCTGCAGACAGAAAAATAGGAAAAATGTATAATAGCATATGCCAGGTCAATAGATTTGGAAATTCCAGCCTGTTGTAAATAGAGAGGGGCTGCTACCCTTCACAAAGGCAGCCAGTCCAGCGAAAGAAATGCTGTCTGTCTGGTTAACTGAACAACTGGTTCAAGGCAAATAGCACCTCCCTACTGGCCGAACTGAGGGCATCAGTACCATCCCACATGGTCCATCTTTTGCCTCTAGGACTAACTTTCACAACCTTCTGTGAGACTCATCTGGCCACCGAGTGCTGAATAAAGCTGCCAATCTTTCTGGGGAAAGCTTGGGAATTTATAAGGTGTGTCAACCAGACGGTCCGTGTCTCAATGAGTACATTGAGAGGACGTTTCCTGGGTGTGATGCAGTGTTGGTTTCTAGAGGGAGTGGGGGTGGCAGAGGGGGAGAAACAAAGAGGTGGGGTGAGGACTGTTCAACCTCAGAGAGGGCTGCTGGGAGATTTTCCAGGACAGAACTTCCTGAAATCTCTCAACTACACCAGGGACGGGAAGTTGGTTTGACCACAATTCTGTATTAAGCCCTTTGGGGAATCTTTCCTGCTCCGGGTTCTCTCAGTCAAAAGTAAGGCCACCCGCTTGACTTTTGCAAGGAATTCTGGCAACTGCTGGTTGGCCTCAAAGATAGAAGCTAGACCTGGGGTTTTCTTAAGAGCCAAACAGGACTCTGTGTGAAGCTCAGGCCAAGCACATTTCACATCCCAATGAGAAGACTGAAGGGGTACCG